GGACCATTTCAAGAGGTGTGAAACCAGTGATTCACCTCAGAAAGCTCATTTGGGCTGGTTGTACCAGGATCGAAGTTTTCCAGTCACGGTCCATGACTCATGACAGTAGGTAGGCATGGAGATGAAGATCGACTCGAACTCTGAGAGCTTAGTCTTCAGACTCAACTCTGCTTTAGTCACAATGGTTCGGGCTAGTTTATGCAAAGCGCCACTGGCGATTCCAATTCGCCGGTCGATCTTTTCTTCCAATTTTTCATCACTGGTAAATACAGTTCCGAGGTACTTGAACTCCACCTGCTCCACTGCTTCTCCGTTAATCTGAAGAGAGCAACGGACAGGGGAACGAGAAAGTACGAGGCATTTCGTTTTAGATGCGTTCACACGCATGCCGGCCTCGTCCCACTCAGTACTGGAAATCAGTTTGAGGCATATGAAGCGGATATCTTCAGGGTCATCTGATCAGACAGTCTGCAGTTGCGAGATAAACATAGCGTAGAAACTCCTGCTCGTTTTCTCACGCAATGGTATTCGTTTATGTAACTTGAAACAATGAATGTCCGTCAACTGGCAGTTCAGCGTTCATTTGCCTGAGACTAATTGTTTGCAATAGCGTATGTATTTAGGTCATTGTAGAGTATGCAACATTATTCAGTCCGTTTCGACTACCTCTTATCCTTATGGGCCTCGCAGACAGACGCATCAGACAATGTCTCCGGTGTTCCTGATTCTGTATCAGCGTTTGAGCTTTTTGAACAAAAGATAACTCGAGTCTAGAGCAGAGTCTGCTGAGTCGGGCGCAAGTTCCCGGTCATTCTTGTTCGTCACCCTGGTTTTCGGTTGGTTGCTGGAGCAAGTAATAGCTACTTTGTCTTTCTGTCTAGAAGCGTTCGCAAGACGTACCCAAACCATAGCAGCTGTGACTTTTCAGTCTGTAGCGTTAGTACAAAATCTCTCTCAGATATGCATACGCCAGACTTTGTCGAGACGAATGAATCCAGCAGTTCATCTCAGAAAGCCTATTTCAGGCGATTGTACCCGGGATCGAAGTTTTCTGTAATGGTCAACGACTCGTGACCACATTTGGGCATAGGAATGAAGATCGACTTGTAAACCGAGAGCCTAGTCTTCTGACTTAGTGCTGCATTAGTGGCAGCGGTTCGAGCTAACTCACATAGAACGCCATTGGTTACTCCAATCAGCCAGTCGATCTCCTCCTCAAATTTTCCATCACCAGTAAACACGGCTCTGAGGTACTTGAACTTCACCCTCTGTCCCACTGCTTCACCGTTAATCTGAAAGGAGCAACGGGCAGTAGAACGAAAAACCAGTAGGCTTTTTGTTTTAAATGCGTTCACACCCGTGCATGACACGTCGCACTCGGCTACGACAGCAACCTTCTTGTCTCAGCATCTCTTACACTGATACACTCATCGCCTTGGTTGCGCCTAACTGTTCCATTCATGTACAACGCGAACAAGAGAGGGGACAGAACGCAGCCTCGACGGAGACCAGTGCCAACGCTAGGTTTCGACTTAACGTTATTTGCTCTGACGCAGCAGTTGCTATCGACATGCAGTGACTGAGTGGCTCACAACAGTTGGCTGTTAATCCTATGCATCAGCAGAAATACCTACAGTTTTTTGATCGTTGTCCGCTCATAGGCTTTCTCCAGGTCAGCAAAGTACGTTAACCGTATGGATGAACTACTACGATTTCTCACCAATCTCGCACAAGGCGAAGATCTGGTCAGTGCTTTTGCCTCATGTGAAGCCGTACTATACTTTTTTGTATCCTAGAGTCAGTTATTTCGTGATACGTCTTTTCTGGAACCTTCACATAGGCTCAATAACGTAATGCCCCGATAATTGAAGCACTCCCTGTAATTTCCCTTTTTGAACAGGGGTACTACAACCCCTGTTCTCCAGTCTGCTGGTGTCTTCCCCGTAGCCATTGCATTTTGACAGGCACATGTTTGCCACAACATGCCTTGTTCGCTTAAAGCTTTAAGCATTTCACGATTGATTTCATCGATTCCACCAGCCTTGCCATTTTTCAAGCTTTTAACAGTGACTTCATTTACTGAAAACGTAATATCCGATGCCTGCTATTCTTCAACAGCGTCTTCCACCAGTTGCTCATGGTTAAGGAGTTCTTCAGATGCTCTTTTCATCGCCGAATTCTATCCTCTTCGTTGGTAAAAAGGCGTGACGTTCGGATTTGTCCTTCAGGACTCTGAAACTGCCATTCGTTCCATCTCGGAGGTGGCGTATGTCCTGCCAGAGTAGCTTGTTTGCCATCAGAAAATACGACTCTAATGCCTCAGAAACTATTCTCATTAATCACTTTCGCTGATTTTTCACTGCTTTTGCTGTCGCCTCTCGCACTTCGTGCTACCGCATTCGACATGAGGACTCTGCTTCTAAACCATTTTTTGAATACAACCTTTTTCCCGCTGACAGCCAATTCAACCGCTCGTGTCCACCAGGAAGTTCGTTTCTCACCTCCATGCGGCAGACCAACCCATTTTAAACCACACCATTCAGCAACAGCCTCGAGTAAGCTGCGCTTGA